TACTAATCATCATGACTAATTTGGCAGCATTCACGCAAAACTTTACCTCTGCTGACAACAAAGTCTGAGAAAAGAGTGTTTCTTTTTGTCTCCATCAAAAGTAACAATTTCCACAAAATTTTGTACATGGTTGTGGGCACTTGAAGCCTAAATGTTTAACCCTGCAACTGGGACGTGTATTTCCATTCGTTTTGATTTCCGTACAGTGGCATATGGGATCCTGGGAGGCCACCACATTTTTGGGGGGAAATGAAGAAGGTAATCTAAATGGAATTGCTGTTGCATTCAAACATCATCTGAATTTATTCCTTTGCTTTATCTTTCACATTGGTTGATTCATGTCTGCACCCTCTGCAACGGAGCTATTAACCGCTCTCACACTGTCACTGTATACACACACACACACACACACACACACACACACACACACACACACACACACACACACACACACACCGCCAACACACCCACACACACACACACACACACACACACACTGTCACTGTACACACACACACACACACACACACACACACACACACACAAATCCCTCTATAAACAAACAAGCTGAGCCTCGTCACCATCCACCTGAGTCACACAACATAATCTCTCTGGTTGATGAAGTCACAGGCAACCCTTGTCACATTGAGCATGAGTGTGTTTATGCGTTTGTTTTCATATGTTCCTGCACACTGCTACTGTAAATATGTCATACAGTAAGCCGCGTTGCTTAGAGGGGTCATGCCAGGCACCACGTTTGCATGACTCCAGCCTGTGCGTGTCGCGGGGCGAGCCGCGCCACCAATCAAGAATGCGGACTCCAAACAGGGCCACTTGGTAAATGAAACGGTTTTCTTTCCACTCATTCTCAGGCGGACGAGGACAGTAAATTAATTTTTGGAACAATCAAATACAGCATTTTAGTCGCTGTAAAGGAAGGCCCCGTGTCGTCATCATTCAGACCAGACATTTCTAAAAAGCAGATACACACACATAAGAGAAATCTGACGACATGCAACCAAATACGAACGTCACAAAAAGTATCTGGACCTGGGATAGCACCACTCGCAAAGTTTTCCAAGTTTGAAGCAGTCAGGTTTTTTTTTTTTTCTTTTTTGCATGCCAAATTTGTTTTTGGGAGCGAGCTGTGCTCGATGGCGAAATTGATTGCTCTGCCTGACCTGTAACTGTGTCACTGGCAGAGATGAATTACCAAAGATACATGATTAGTCATAAATACAGAATAATTTTCAGACCATTTCAGTGAAATTGTATAATTTCCAGCGGCACACTTAATGTTCTCCAACAGCGACACAGTGGTTGGGAATCACTGTATGACCCTGTAATGTAACCAGAAATTCAACGAGCAGTCTTATGGACTGTGCCAGAATAGTACCAGGACCAGTGTCACAAAAGCTAATTTCAAACCCTAACTGCAAATGTAGTTTTCCCCTTGAATATTGGCCAGCTGATTTACCAGCGGCGGACCGGTGGTTAACTGGTTAGTGCGTCGGCCTCACGGTGCAGTGTGTGGTATAATCTCTCAGCATATTAGTAGTGATGATTACGAAGAAGGGGGCCATCAAAGGACCATTTTTTTAAAAACACGGCTCACTTTGGCAATGACGTGACTATTTTAAACTCAGCGAAGTTCTCTTCTAAAATGACATGTTAAATTACAGAGAAGTTTTTTAGCTGATGACTGAGCACGAGTAATGCAACTGTTCTTAAGATGCCTGACTTTGATTTATATTATTAGAACGCTGCTTTGCTTTGTACTGTAGTTTTTACCTTTTGATTCTCTTGGGGTATTCACCCAACACTATTGGTTTTTTTTTTTTTTTTCATTTTGTTTTGATTTTAATGTATGTCATTAAGCCAGTCCGGTGGTGGTCAAGTGGTTAGCGCCTCGACCTCACACTGCAGAGGTCGAGGGTTTGATCCCGGCTCCGGCCTTCCTGTGTGGAGTTTGCATGTTCTCCCCGGGCCTGCGTG